AATTAATGTTTAGTTTTAGGGCATTCGACCATTCAGACCCAGAAAGTACTTGTTTCTAAAAAAAAAAATTTTTTTTTTCATTTTTTAAGATTTTATTTAGTTTGCTGGAGCTTCTTCTAGGTATTGTAGGAGGAAGATTTGTGCCCCGCAATATTATTCGCCATTTTCTATTGAATATCTTAAAATGTGGTTGATCCGATACTTCCAGGTATCCAAGTTTATTGCCGTCATTCTGTTTTATAAAATATAATAAATTCTCGTAAAGGTATATGTGGAAATTTCTTAAGACGTCTAGGCAGGCCAGAGTTTCGTAACAAATTTTGTCTTTCTCTCTGCTCTCTTTTTTCTTGCTTGAACTAAACTTTTATCCATTATTCCTCGCCTCATTTTGTTTTATTATCTTATTCGCCGTGTTTGGTTTTCTGAGTTCCCTTTATATAGATATTTGTGTGTGTTTGTGGGTATATTACGCATGTTTAACTAAACGTAATGATTGAAATTTTATAAAATTCATACTGGACCAATTTTAAACTAAACCCCAATTAACCTCCAACTTTGTTCTCACCTCTTCATTCCCAAAATACCACAAGATAAATCCTTTGCCCTCAGACGTATTACACCTCATCCATTCCAAACATCATTACAGAACCGTCTGGCAAAGAACCAGGCATCCTGATGATCGAAAATTATATAACTAATACTCCGAAATACGAGAAAAGAATTTGGACAAGTTTATATCACAGTCCTTGACATCCACACGCATACCATTCATCACTATCTGTTATTAATAATTCACTTTGGAAAGTTACAAGATATATAATATATTATCATAGGCTGCAAAAAATCACTTAGTACATTATTGAATGGGTTAATCTTTTAATCACGTTTTTAAGAATTTTAACTTCATTTTCCATTCCGAAATCCAGGCTCAGAAGAAAACATAAGGCTGTGTGGTTTGGAGTTTTCCCAATTATAACCTAACATTTATGTCCTGTCTCTTGTTTAATTTGTTACTAATTTATGTTTGTTTATTTACCATTGTTGAAGCACAGTGAATGCATCAAAATGACACAAATCCTTTTAAATATAAAAAATGTTTACAATAATTGTTCTGATTTCGCAGAGAAAAAAAATCATCATAGTTATTAGTTTATTAATTTTATGAAATGCTACCTAATGGATTTTTGCATTAAATCCATGATACATATTTATTCTATAATTGAAAATATTTCAATTGACAAATAAATCTAGGGAGCAGGGAGAAAGGGCTTTTAGGGCTGAAGACGCTCCAAAATAGATAAGTAGATAAATAAATAAAATGTAAATAAACATGTATTCATTGGCCCATCTTTGTTTTCGACTGATCTGAGCTAAATACTAAAACAATCACAACATGAATATTTTTTAAATTATAACCTAAATACAGCTACTAAATATAAGCAGATGTGAAGAAAAAAACATAAAAAAATTATCCCTAAAAGCATTATTATTCCTGTAATTACTGTTTTTAATTTTATTTATTTAGTTATTGTATAGGCTTTCAAGGATCACTTAAACATCATATTATATAGTTTCCTTCTTTTTTGTCTTGTGTGATTCCTGTTGTAATTTATAATTAAGCCCCCCTTCCAAAATTAAATCCTGGATCCACTACTGTGCGAGTATGTGTGTGAAGAAGGAAATGAACTTATATGTTGGGAAGTTTTTATTTAAATCATCAGATCCTCCATCGACATTTTCAAAAATCTATATGGGAAAATCACTTATTAATATAGTCAATTATCAATGATTATTATCAAATATAGTTAAAAAAGTCATTTTTTTTATTTACTTTTTTAATCTATCTTTTGAAAGTAAAGACCGCCGTTATCAATAATTAAATCAAATTTTTAAAAAGTCTGCGTTTGTTTGAAACAGATATGTCAGGTAGAAATATATCCTAGACGCGTTAGGTAGCACACGGAGAGTTCCAAAGACTCCAGAAATAAATTCTCCTGGTATTCTAACACCGGATGTCCAGAAACATTCCTGATAGGTATCGGGCTGATCTAACATTAGTAAGTGGGAATGAGTTGGGATTGAGCAGTCAAGATATATATATAGGTATATATATATATATATATATATATATATATATATATATATATATATATATATATATATATATATATACCTGGCAGTCGTGTTTTAAACAGACTTGCTCGTAAAAACAATATATTTGTAAAAAAAAAAAATTATCTTTGAAATATTTTTCTGATTTACCTCCTGAAAATCCTCTCTCTCCCCACCTCCTCGAATATCTCCTAAAATCATGAGGATATAGCCAATGAAGTGGTTCGAAAATTAAAGTGTTTGGAGCAAAAACGATTGATACTGTTAGGTCTCAAACGCACACCTGTGCAAACATCATGAAAATTCATAGAAGTTTTAAATCCTGTTTAACTACAGATAAACAGCCCTCGATTTGTTAACAAGTTATTTTATAGATTTTCCAACAGAAAAAGATTACTGTTATGAAAAATAAATGATGAAGTGATTCATTTGTATTGGAATACTTATTACTTTCTCATCAACCTAATGTTCACTAAAATTTTATCTTTTTCGTTAGAATACAAAAATGTGGGGTCATTTTGACAAACTACATAACATTGCTATTCGACATCTCAACAATTCTTTCTGAACTTGAGTTATTAAAAAGTTTCTACACATTTGGAATTTTTAAAATAATCCCAATGCAAATAATGCAAGTGAGAAAACTTTATATTTAAAACGAAAAGTAAAGAATAAATACTATGATTAAAAAAATATTAAATTATATTTACATGATTTTAAAAATTGAATTTTAACACGTTAAACACGTAGTTGTTCAATTCTCTTTTGACATGATACATTCCGAAATGTTACATTTTTATTTTTTTTAGGAGGAGAGGGGTTTCAATAATTAAAATAAAATTTCACAGCAACATTAATAATTTCGAACAATTTGAATACTACTTAGGAACAGAACTCCGACAAACTTTAATTTAAAAAATCGCCATATATTTAGTTGTTATAGAAATATCTTAATTTCACAACTCTTTTGTGTTCAAACTTGTCACATACACGTCATGAATGTTAACATTCAGCCTCAATAATTTTCTTCTTATTCAAGCACAAAAATGTAGCGATGGAAACTTTTTTTATAGTCATAAGGCATTGGTATTGGTTTTAAAAATGATATACATATGGAGTAAAATATTTTATCAAAATTTTTATAGCTTGAAATAACTTCTCGAATTTCAAATTTCTCAATTTTTGGGATTATTAAAATTATCCTCCCTCTCCCACCCCTCTCGTAACGATGCTCCTGAATACATTATCAGTACTTCATTATGAACAATTCTTTATTATTTTAAATATTATGATTATTGTTTTAGTTTTTAATTATGATTATTATAACATGAATATTAACTTTCCGTTATTGCCTATTGAACTAGGATTTATAAGCAGCCTTGATATAAGATTTTTTTTTTTTGTATCTGAAGTTGTGTACAATAGGTGTTCTAAATATTATAGTGAAATTTTCAATTGTAAAGAGAATGATTGACAAATGGTGGTTTATATTCAGGAACCGTTAGGCAGGTTATGTTTTAGTTCTTACAATCATAGATATGAATCATTTCTGAAACTAATAGACCTCCTTTCTGTTCATTTATTGGCCCTGTAATCTGCCAATCAACTTTTTAATTTTCAATTTTATTATGAGTTCTATTATTTTATGGTTTTATTATTGTTTTTATAACCTTCACCAGAGAATTTTTTGTTGCAAAAGCATCAATATAAACTCTTGGTCAAGATTACTGAAGTTACTCATGCTGCAATTATCAACATTTATTGTGTCAATTAAAATTTTGGAACCCAATATTAGTAGTGTGAGATTGTCTGTGACTTTTTAGTTTTAAATTAAACCTAACTTATTAAACTTCAGTTGGTGAAAATAACATCATTAATCATTTTCCTGTTGTGAATCTGACTTCATAAACCTAATGTAGTTCTTACAGGATTGTCAGTATTGTTTCTTCATATCTCACTTCCATTATATTGCTCATATTAGTTCTCTTATTTTGTAGTACTTTTTTTTTTGCTCTGTCAAAAAATGTAGAATTATCGGGGCTTTAACAATAATGAATGATTGTGCTTTGTTCTAATTTAATTAATAAAATTAGAATTGATTCTCTTTGACCAACTTAAAATATTTAGCTCCACAGATGAAATTTGAATTTTTGTTAGTGAAGTCATCTCCCATATGCCCATCTATATTGTAGATATCTATCTTAAACACAAAAATATTTATAACTTTTTCACAATATATGCTTGTGTAATTCTGTGATTTTATATTTTTTCATTAATGAATGTATGTGAATTTATTTATTTTTCATTGTCTGCATGAACTGCATACTTCTACAAACTGCATTACTTTAACTTTCTAGATACTAAATAATGTAATCGTAATAATCCCTAAAGGAATGTCTTAATAAGAGCAAGTTCTCACACCTTATTTGTCATGTGAGGCTCTCCTGTATACTGCTCTATACAAGTTCATACTTACAGGAGGACTTACAAGCTATGGCCCAATCGTTATGGCTATCCACAGCAATATCTAGAATAAATATCTCCGAAGAAGCCGACAATGATGCATCTTAACCGTGCCATGACAAGCAAAACTCCTTTCAATTTACTTCTAAATACATTACTTTAACATTCTAGATAATACATACTTCAAATAATGCATATTAAGTTTACATCAATAATATATATAGATATCAAATCTTAGGACATAATGAAATTTTAAAAAGTTGTAAAATATTCTGTATTTTTGACATATTTAATGTGGTATGAAAGTTATTCTTTTCTTTATGGATTTATTCTAATTTTCTTATACCATTGAGAATACTTCATCTCTTATAAAATAATGACAATGTTCCATTGTCATAGATTTATTAATTTATTTTTATTTTCAGTGAGGCTGCACGACAGTATACAAGAAGAAAACTACCATTATTTAGTATTTGACTTGTAAGTAAACATTATGGAATATTATACTTTTAACTGTTCTGTTTAGGTAAAACGATATTTATATTAAAGCAGGGTCCTCCAAACTTTTTGGCCCACAGGCGACATTGAGACCTCCACTAAGTCCCATGGGCCACATTTAAGCCTCCCGTAAGTCCAACGGGGCTTGTGATGAATAAATGAAACTTCAGTTATGAAATGAGCTTTCTAAGAGAAACAACTCATGCAATAAATGTAGAAACCTTCAGTTTCAGTGATTTACTAAATTTATTGTTTTTTAAATAGTTTTAAAAATTTAACATGTAATCAAAGAAACTTTCCCGTTTGGAGATCCCGCCATAGTTTGGAGACCCCTGTATTAAAGCACAATATAAAATTAAACAACAAAAGTATGGACTGTAACTTTTAAAAAATAGTTAAAAGTGACACGATTCTTTATAATTTTATATTCAGCAGATATGATTCATTTTGATGAGGATAACGATAGACAAACAATTTAAGGAAGACGTTTGTGAGCAGAGCTCCTTGTGAAATATACTATCTCAATTTTTTTTTGTTAACATTTTGATTTGTTTTGCATTCTTTCATTGCTCGCGCTGAAACATAAGTTGATTGTTATTTCAATAATAAAAGGTTGCATATGCACTAAAAGGGTCTCTCTTAAATTGATTATCTTTACCTCAATAGTTTAGGTACTAATAACAAGTATGAAAAAAAATTTTAAAAAAAGGAATACTTTACCTTTAATATTATTTTTGAATCCCACTTTTGTATTCGAAGAACAAGTTTTATCATATGACTATGTATTATGATTTATTTTGGTAAGATTAAATTTGAACAAAGCTATAGTGCTGAGGGGTGGAAGAAATATCAGACCAGAAAACTGCTAGTCTGGATTAAAACTAAACAAAAGAAGAAGGTTTATTTGTTTGAAATAAAAGTTAATTCACTTGGGATAAAGCGTTATTTTTTTAGATAAATCTGTAATTAGTCTTGCAAATAGTTAAATAGTTTTTCGAAGTTATTTATTGATTGATTTATTTTTAAACTTTTTTTTATTTATTTAAAATAATTTATTAATTGTTAATTAATTTTGTTCACTTTAGTTTTAATATTTGAAGAAAAAAAAAGAATTTCCATGAGATTCTCTCTATATATTAGAAATGTATATCTAGTGTTTAAATATTAATCTTTTAAGCCTTATGAAATTAGTCATCATATTAATAAATCAGATTTTTCAAAACTAATTTGTTGTTTAATGTTCTATTTTCCATTTATACCACAAAATACATTCATGACAAATAGTCCTCAATGCTGGTAGTGTTTTCTCATTGTGATAATATGATAAAGAGACCCCTATACTTTAATTTCTCAAAAAGTAAAACTGCACACGGTCTGTTGTATTTGTTGCAAATACCTTAAACTTTGATTAAAGTTGTAAAATTGTATTGTAATTTAAATATTTTATTCTATCTCTTTCCTTACTCTTGCCATTTATTGTTTAACATTTAGTCAAAATATTTGTCTTGATTAAAAATTTGACAGGTTTTAATTAAAAAGTGAACAATTTTATTCACATTGTATTTTCATAATGTAGAAACAAGATTTCCACTTATTTTTTTATTGTTTTATCATTTTATGATTACTTCTTTTTCCAGAGTGACAGGGGGTGAACTTTTTGAAGATATCGTAGCCAGAGAATTTTATTCAGAAGCGGACGCATCACACTGTATACAACAGATATTAGAGAGTGTTAACCACTGTCATCAAAATGGTGTTGTTCACAGAGATTTGAAGGTAAATGAATGTATTGATTTATTACTAATTTGCAAACCATAATTTGATTAAGTTAATGGAGGTATTCGGAATAGTCAAGTTTTTCATTTGATTTAATATGATAAGTACTAATGATTTTTAACTTTTGACCTACTAGTGTTTAACTTCTTTATCTGATTTCCACACTATTCATATTTCCAAATATAATCCATGATATTATACTTATTCCAAATAAATAAAAAAATTTCAGGAATCTGTTTCAATATAATTATTGAAATATTATATTATTAGAGGTGGGAAATAAAATGCTCTAAACCTTCATAAACTCTAAAAGCTATAATGTATATGTATAATATTACAATGTTTTTTTTTTTGTTTTGTTTTTTTAATAATTCAACTTTTATATATTATAACTCAAGATATGAATTATAGTCAGATAATAGGTCATGAAATACACTTAGATGACTTAAAACAACTTCTGTTTATTCCATTTATTCAAAAACGTTTCGATCCCTGTTGTTTAACGTAAATAATGGGATCCTCTCCAGTTTTTTAATTGAGCATCGATACAAGGATACATAGCTTGATGTCCTTATGGCGGTACTATTGGGCCTGTCAGCGTGCTGCCCGGCTTGGAGTATCGATGCTCAATTAAAAAACTGAAGATTATTCCATTATTTATGTTAAAAAACAGGGATCGAAACGTTTTTGATAAAAATGGAATAAACAGAAGTTGTTTTAAGTCATCTAAGTGTATTTCATGACCTATTATCTGACTATAATTCATATCTGAAGTTTTATATATATATATATATATATATATATATATATATATATATATATATATATATATATATATATTCCCTTTGTCAACATAAATCAAACAACGAGTCTCCTTTTTCAATATATTATTTATTTTAACACATATAACATAAATCTCAGGTTGGGTTCTGACAACTGAACACTCATTCAACATTTAATAAATACAATGTACACTAATATATAATTTAAAATAGTTTTATAAAATAATTTGTCCCGGTCTAAACTTTTGGTTCTATCACTCTGTCACATAAATGGCATTGTTAGCACTCACCCAAATGTTAACGCCTGTCCCATTTTCTGTATCACTTAATTATTTTCTGCTATGTTGTTTTCTTCCAACATAAAATAATCTTCACTAGTAGCCTTTATCAACACTCGAACCGGTAAGGACTCCTTTTTCACTTTCTCAGCTTGCTGGCTAGCACCTTCTCTCTTGGCAGCTTGTCACCTCTCTCTTGGCGGCTCATAACCTTCTCTCTTGGCCGCTATCACCTTCTCTCCTGGCGGCCCGTCACATTCTGAGTTACATGAGGCTTGCTTCCCCCACTTCCTCACGCACTTTTTCCCTGCACTTTCGCGCCACTATTTAAATGCCATGTAATGTTGACATTACAATATATATATAACTTTATAAGATACATTATAGATTATATTAAGTTGTTTAAAAATAATGATTTTTACATTACTGTTTTAACTGTCATGTTTAGATTTGAAACAGGAAACGAATCCAGTTTATTTATTAATAAATCCAGTTAAATTTCATCATTAAATAAAAGTCTAATTCAGATAAATTTTTATTCACTATACTTAAATTATTCAAGATTTTAAAGAAGTGAAGAGACAAATTGATATTGTCCATCAGAAATATTAATTGATTTTGCTAAAGAACATGGATAAAGTTTACAGTACATGTAGGATGCTTACCTGTTGAATAGGGCTCTTCTCACAACCCATGGGATAAACCAAGGCCTAAGGCCTGATCCGTACTCATCTGCGGCCTATTGTCTGACAAGAAGCAACACGGACTGTAGGAATGCAGCTTAAGAGATTGTTGAAATTAATATACCTTTTAAGAAAGCACAGCTCCTGACTTCCAAGTCTGGCTGTTTCAAGAGATGAATACATTCTTCATGGGTTCTCAACTTCCTTTGTCTAAAAAATCTTTCTCAGTTGAGGTCAGACAGACTACCAGAGTAGTCTGGTAAATGGTTAAATTTTGTTATATTGCTCCTAAAAACAAATGGTGATAATTTTATTTCATACAAACTTTTTTTTAATATGAAGGATATTTTTTTCAGCCTGAGAACTTGTTGCTGGCCAGCAAGGCTAAAGGAGCTGCCGTTAAACTTGCCGACTTTGGTTTAGCCATCGAAGTTCAAGGAGAACAGCATGCCTGGTTTGGTAAATATTGTCATCTCTGTTTACATCAAATGTTTACACACTATTTTTTATTCTTATAATTAAAATGTGGATGAGAATATTTTATTGTTCATACTTTCAAAATCTAAGGAAGGAGATCTCATTTTAATACTGATGTAGAGATAAAACCTTTTTTTCACAAATAATAACAGTGAAACATTTTTAAATATGTTTAAAACTGAGTAGTAGGTATTACCCAACAACCTTTCTTTTTGGACTATTATGTTATTTGGCAATAAGTCTTCTTAATTTTTGTTATTATGATAGAAAGAACTTAATCATAGATTTATTCACTATGATTAGTTGAAATGAACTGTGCAAGGAGAGCATAATTTTCCCTGTAAATAATAATATATTCTTATTGATTCATTGATTTGATATATACTATGTATCAATAATTATACTTACTAAATATTAAAAGTTTCAAGGCTCATTTGAGTTCTACATAAAGAAATAAATTATAGGTAATAAATAGTCAGGACAGTCATTTTTAAAGTTTTTTATTAGTGCCGGCGTTTCAACCAAAACATGTTGGTCATCATTGGGCGTACTCATGAGAGTACTTGAATACCTTCAATGCTCGAAACACACCTTGATGATGACCCATATGTTTAGGTTAAAACTTCGGCACTAATAAAAAACCTTAAAAACGACTGTCCTGACTATTTATCACCTATGATTTGTAGAACAGTGGACTAACTTCCTTCAGAAAATAAATTATGTTTATTTGGTTAGCTAACGACTGGTGTTACAGGCTTTGCAGGCACGCCGGGTTACCTTTCACCTGAAGTATTAAAAAAAGAACCCTATGGGAAACCAGTCGACATCTGGGCTTGTGGTAAGAATCTATTCCTTGTTGAATACTATGAATTTTTCTATAATCTCTTGAAGTTACAATTGATTTATGTATTATAGTTAAATTGTAAATGACGCTTTCGCACATTTTTCAATGTGTTATTTTTTAAATGATTAAAATGAGACAGTAATTATTTCAATATTTATCACTCACCAATATGAGGCAGAGTAAAATCATGAGAATTTTAAGAAACAGTTATTTAGGATAGGAATGATGTGTCTTGGATTTCTAAGATCGGTTTCGGTTGCATTTGTTGCAAAAATTATAACAAGGCTGCCAGAGATACAAAATTTTTGGATAATTGGTAAAAATCCAAATAACACTCACAAGTATGAATAAATAGCTATTAGTTGATTTGTGGAGGTGGGAAGAAGCACTTGGTGAACTCTATAACCAAAACATAGTGTTTTGCTTTATTTTTAACTTATAAATGTGTAAAATCTAGAAGTTATTGATATTTGTTATAAAAGCAGTAATTCTGCTTTTTTTGAATAAAATGAAGAGCTCAAAGACAAGGACTATAGGAAATGTTTTTTCTTATTTTAAACAAACTTGAAATCTATGCCAATCAAAGGCAAAGTACAATGCTATACAAAATTGTAAAATTTGCATAGAATATTTTTTTTTTGGCTTCACCTGCTTATTGGTAAAAACCATTAGACATGTTTACAATATTTTTCAACCTAGTATCATCCAAAAAAGTTTGTAATCCGTGATCTCTCGTCCATAACTTCACCATGTAAAATGAAATTCAAAAGAGTTCAAAGATTCTTTTAATCTATCCTTAGCCATATTGGTACTGGTATTGGTGGGGGGAGGAACTAGTCCAACAAGTGGGCCTATCATGGTCCTTTTTGCCAACCCCTGTCAGCTACTTTGAGGTTGCCGCCGCGTACTTACCAGGGTGGGAATGTCAGGGGCGGAGTGGCCGAGCAAGCTAACACGTGTGCACAGCACCACTGTTGTCCGGCAACCTGATATACGAGATAATTTGATTATAATAATTCTGAGTTCGCGTCCTCTCGGTGCCGAGGGAGCCTTTTAACTCTGGCTTTGGTCTCCTATCCCTTGGCCCGGGAAAACCTCTGTGTAGCCTAAAGGCAAGGAATCCTGTCTTCTATCCTAATCCATAGACAGCACAAGCAGTATTGCTTAAGAGCATTTCTGGACAATCTATTGTCCAATCCTTATATGTAGAACTATAAGGATGTCTACAAGAAATACAACAGATCTGAGAATGTTTGCTACTCAATGTAAATGTTCAATTTAGACAGTTCTGAATGAAATTGTAGTGTTTTTTGCAGAATAAAAATCAACATATTTAACTATGTCTAGTTTCGTCTAAACCTGTTGTCTGAACTTAAACTTTTTTTTCATGGCTTGCTGGTCTGTGTCAATCTTGGACTTCTTTTGTATAATTTTTTTGACAATTTTATTTGCTGATAGGAAACTGTGGATTATCAAGTTTTAAAAACAATCTGAACTTTGTTTCTACTCCAGTTTGCTTCATGCTCCTAATGCTTCTTAATTGAACTCTTATCATTTTTTTACGGATTGATTTGTGTACCAAGTGCCTCAATGAAAATTTTCTATTTTCTTGTAGGGTAAGCGCACCAATGATGGACATAGCTAAGGAGATTTTTGTCCTTTTTGGTTTATGCCACCGTAATTATTATAGTTATAAACTTCTCTGTTGGACATTTAAAATCTCTAGGGTCTCCTTTTTCTATTTAGCACTTTAAAATTGAAAAATATTCAGTTATGGAGATATAATCTCCATTGGATAAAAAAACCTTTTTTGCACTGGTGATGGATACGCCGAACTTCAATTGTTCTAGTAATGGACAGGAGATCGGTACCAGTAATGGACATACCTCAGAAAAATTCTAATATAAAATTCTTTTATTTAACTATAAAGATAAAATAACATAAATGTTCAACTTTCCCTTAGCAAAACTGTTAGTAGGAAGGTATGAAATAGACTGACCTCAACAGCACTATAGAAATAACTAAGATAGGCATTTTAAAATTTTCATTTGGAAACTTTATTCATAAAGTTGCCAATAGAGAGCATTGTTCTTCAATCTAGAAAAAACTGGAACCTTAAAATGAACAAGGAAGCTTATTATTTACATTTAAAGTTCAACCATCCCATAACTGGTGCGTTCAACCTAGTTTATTTTTTTTAAAGAAATTAAGACAAATAAAATTGAAAAAATTGATTTCATTTTTCTGGTCTACATCATGACTGTACGACATTTCTTTGGCTGTACTTGAAAAAAATAAAATGGTCTGCATACTGTTATTTTATAAAATCAGTTCTCACCTGACATTCCCTAATCATACTATTGTTGAGGTAAGACAAGATAAGTCCTCCTTGGGACCAGTGCCCTTGTGATCCCACCATAGATGGAATTGAATAGGATTTAACCCATCCGAGCACTAACCACCCCCTTATTAGGGATTATCTGGCATCAGCCATCACCTCTCCAGGGGCATTCGGTTACATCTGCTTAGTATTCAACATCATACTGCGCTCAATGTAGTCTGTTTACTAATATTATAATTTTCACCAAATTTATTGACTATGTTTGGTTATTAAATATTAAAAAATAAATATTGACAATATTATTGTAACATAAAATTTAAAAGTCTCTTTACAAAAAGTTTTAATTGTATACCTAAGAAAAAACGGTTTTCAGAATAATGAAAGTATAATTTTAATTTTTTTTATCATTTGAACTTATCCTTTTTAAAACTTTGTTGTCAATGATATCAATTTAAGGAACATTCAAATATGGAAAAGCCTTAACATAAAAGTAATATAACATATTCTTGTAAAAGCCGCTCTCCCTCCAAAACAAATTGGCTGCTGGGCCTAACTTGGAAAGAAATCCGACTCACCATCGGAGTACTAAAAGGCCCCTGCAGACTTAAAAGACACTTAAAGATCTGTAGGATAGTGGATGATGAACTCTGCAATCTCTGCAGAAGTATACCTGAAACTGCCCTCCACTTTATAACGGAATGTGACCGATTTGCGTCACTCAGATACAGACTTCTGGGAGCAGACAGAATCCAAGAATGTAAAGCTGTCTCCATTAAACGGCCCAACCTTTTGAACTGTATTAGAAGAAAAAAAAGGCTTGAGACAGAATAGAGGTACAATAGACAACCACTGGTACTATCAAATTTTGGGGTTGGCAAAAAGGACCAATAGGCCCAATTGCCGGACTAAGTCCCCCCACCTGTGCCAGTACCAGTACCAGTATTGTCGCTATTCAAAAAATCAGTTATCAAAACAATTTACTAGCTTTCCATAAAGTATATATAAATTTGAGTATGTAATATCTGAGCATCACTTTAGCAATTTAATGCAATAGTGTTTATATCATTTAATTAATTGGTATCAGATATGGGTATTGAAAAGTAAAAAATAAATTATTCATCATGTACTTTCAAATTTGTTTCATTGAAGCAAACCATTTTGCCCTTTCAGTAATTATCGTGATTCCCAGTTATTTTCAATCTTATAGAAATGGTTATCATCTGAATAGAATTTGTTGAAATTTAGGCAGAAAGGGTTGGGTGTGTATTGGAAAAAGAGAGCTTTGAAAAGACCTCTTCCTGTATAGAGGAAATTCATTTACTTTGGAAAGAATTTTGAATGATTTGGAATGAACTATATTTTATTTAATTTTATTTATTAAGGTTTTAAAGTATATTTTTCATCCTATTACTTACAATAAATTTTAAATTAAAAAATATATTTTCTCTTTCTTTTTTTTTCTTTTTTTGTCAGGGGTAATACTGTATATATTGCTGGTTGGTTACCCCCCATTCTGGGATGAAGACCAGCATCGACTCTATGCCCAGATAAAATCAGGATCTTACGATGTACGTATATATTTACAGATTATGCACTTTATATGTTTGGTATTAAAATACATAGCATAAACAATTACTTATTTTTTAAAATTATTACTGTAGTATTACATTTTTTTTATTATGTTAATTTTTAAATTTTGGTTTGTGTATTTTCACTTATATTGCTATTTTGATGAGTTTAAAAGGTTCATAAATTATTTGGTTAAGAACAGTATGAGTTTGATTATTGTATTGGATCATTAATTTAGTGTCTATGAGTCTTATTTGATCATTACCATAGTATGGACACCAAGAAGTCTCAAAGATATTTTAGAATTCTAATGAAGCCGATAGATACTCGGAATTTGTCCTTATAAAGTGCCAAAGACTGTAGAAGACCTCTTGTTTTCACATTTACAAAGAATATTTGCAGTGTTGTTAATAATCCTGTGTGCACGGAAGGCATATGGCAGAGTCCTCAAAAAGTTTCATTAGGTTCTCGGCCTTAATCTTCAGTTCCCAGGATTTAACATTATATATAATTCAATAATTCTTTATGTAATCAATGGTATACATCTTCTTCTCTTCTTCGTCTTCCTCTTATGCCATTAGTTAGCGTCGAGGAGCCTCAATCCAGCGTAACCACACTTCCCTGTCCCTGCTTAGCCGCTTCATCTCATTGAGAGTTTTGCCTCTTTTACATCCAATTCTTTGGATATACTCTTGGTGTGTAATTCTGGAGTGCCCGTGTGGTTTCCTTCCTGTGGGTTGAGCCTCTAGGATTCATGTTCTCATTCATGAGGCAGGAATGTCCAAACCACTGGAGTTGCCGTCTTTCTTGAGTAGTTTTAAGTTCAGTAACTCCTAGTTGCTCTCTAATGCTTTCGTTCCTAATGCGATCACTTCTATTTCTCCCAACAGATATGCGAAGGAACCTCATTTCTGCTGCCGTTATGCGACTAGAGTGCCTGTCCAGCTTTATCCGCCGTAAGTGAGTGTAGGTAGGTAAACAGACTTAAATATATGCATTTTGGTCTTCTTGTCTACTTCGCGGTGGCCGATGATGCTATTAATAATCTGGTAATACACTTGATTCGCCTTGCATATTCTGTTAGATATTTCAGCGTCTATCTTACCCGAGCTACTAATTATGATCCCTAAGTAGGTATATTCACTCACTACCTCAAGTGTCTCGCCGCTGTAGATCAGTTGTACATCTTCCCGTTTTTTCCTCGCCATAACCAGCACTTCATTCTTGGAGGTGTTAATTAGCATACCTTTCCTGAGCAACTCTTCTTCCCATTTTACCAGAGCTTGCTGTAGTTTGGTCTTGGTGTCTGCTATTAGGACTATTTCATCTGCATATAAAAGGCTTTGTACGAGGACAGTTTTCATATTCTATTTCCCAATTATTGTCCACCCAGTTCAGTGCTTGCTGATTTTGTGGATTTCACCCATTACATTTATAAATAGAAGGGGACTTAAGCTACCTCCCAGTCTAACTCCTCTCGCAATCGGAAAAGGTTCTTATTTCATACCATTTATCCTTACCACTGCCATGGCTCCTTGGTAGGTTGACTGTATGGCCGCTAGCAAATCTACAAGTACTTCCTTGGCTATTAGGGTATTCCAAATTTCTTTTCTTGGGACCACATCAAATGCTACCTTCAGATCAAGGAGATCTTCAGAATGCAAGATACAGATAATGGTACACATCAGTTAATTAAAGAAAGCCAATCCTACTATTTTACAACTCTGCCTTCTCCAATTCTCACCAATATGCCCGAAAAAATCCTTCATAAATGATATCTCTTAATAAAAAATATATTCTTTTATTATGTACTATTCTATCATAAGTGTTATTGGTTTGATTTTTTTTTTTGTTTAGTACCCATCACCTGAATGGGACACCGTAACACCAGAAGCGAAAAACCTTATTAATCAAATGTTGACTGTTAATCCAGCCAAAAGGATCACAGCTTCAGATGCATTGAAACATCCCTGGATCTGCGTAAGATTCTTTAGCAGTGCTCCAACTGATGTCCTAACTATAGAAATATTGAATCAGTATTGTCAAGACTTGTTTTTTTAATATGAACAATTTTGTATTGTTAAATTCAACTATTGTTTAAATATTATTGAATTATTTATTATAATAAATTTCGATGTTGGCTCCTGCCTTGATTTAAAATTGATTTGAAACTTACCAGATCAGCTAAAACTTCAACAGCTCGACTTTAACCTTACCAGCTTAAACTTTTTATGAACAGAACATTGTTGTGATATGGTGATAATATTTCATGGAATCTTTGGAATGCCTCTCATTGTGTTTATTATGCAGTTTGATTCAATATTTCTATGTTCAGTGACTCTTATCCATTATTTCATCCACTTTTTTTTAGAGGATCTTTAATGTTGTAATTTTCTGTTTCAGCAACGCGAAAGGGTGGCTTCTGTTGTACATAGACAAGAGACTGTAGACTGCCTCAAGAAATTCAATGCAAGGCGTAAACTCAAGGTGAGTTATTTTTCTAATTAGTATTATTTTTTCTATTTCTCTTTTCCTCATTTTTTTAATTTTGGCAAAGTTTGTCTCAATGAAACATACAAGTTAAAATTAGTGATTTATATGGTGTAGCAATTTTAAAGTCTATTCAATTTTAAAACTAAACAATACGTCATTTGAAAATTAATTTGTACCTGGAAAACATGATTATTAATATATACACATAACTTGGCACATGGAATTTTATTATACATCTCATCTCTATTTGTTCATACAATCAAGAAGAAATGTTTACAGAAATAGAAATAGATCAATATGATTACATTGCCCAGTTATGCTTATCTTCACCATTAATAATATAATACTATCTCCACTAAGATTTTTTTTTTTCAAAATTTAAAACTAAGCAATGTAAAAAACTAAAAAGATGTGTCATAAAGGAAGTTTAAGTAACTTCACCTCTCAACTTAAAGTAGAGATTGATAGATAGTGAACTGGATGTTAGTTTTAACAAGCCTGTCAAAAGTTCCTTAAGGAGTTTTTTTAATCTACCTTTGTTCCTTTTTAAAAGATTTCTGTTTTCTCTCTAGACATACAAAGTGTAAAAATATGAACCTGGAATTCTTTTAATTAATTTTAATTTAGTTGCCATCAAACCGCAATATTACTACCACTTTGTTTCTTCAATGACCTGCAAAGATTTTCTAGTCCTGGACATGTCAAGATTTGGGTCTACAAACTACGACTGCATTAATTTTATGTTACTATTTCAAGAAAACTGCAGCAAAATCGTATCAAATGCTTGTCAAATCTTATGGTGAGCATTGGTAGATCACAGTGCTTTGAGTGATTTAAACAAAATTAAAAATTAAGCTTTTGATGTGAGAAATGAAAAGTGAGTGTGTTCTGTTATGAGTTGCTAAAACCTGGTGAAACCATTTATACTGAACACTATCAATATCAAATGATTGATTTGAATCGAGTATTGGGTGAAAAATGACCAGGATATCAAAAAAGACAACCTAAATTGAAGTGATGTTACTTCATGATAATGCTCCACCTCACACAGCAAAACTAGTGAAGGAAATGATTGAAGCGTTCACTTGAGAAATATTAGCGCTTGTAGCCTGCTCATCAGACTTGCCTCTGCCCAACTTCTATTTATTTGCATCGATGTAGCATACACTTGCACAGCAATACTTCAGTTCTTATGAAAATGGTAACTAATTCACCACAAAAGAGCAACGTTTTTTTCTGGCATGGAATTCATGAGTTGTGAAAGAGACGGGAAAAATTTGTAGGTAGTGATGGACAATATTTCGAATAAAATGTTTTTAAACATTTTTATGCAATATCCCAGTTTCATCTTTAAACCCCTGATACAGGAAAACAACTTAAGGCAATACTTTGGCTGGGTGGTTATGTTCAATGAAAGCAGAGTTCTTCTCTCTCTTATAACATCAGGTATCCTCCTTGTCATCTTGAATTTTTTGAAAACATTTTAATTTGTTTTAAATTATTTTAATCCCATGTACGAACTCATTAGTTAATTGTCATTTCACTTAAAAAAGATTATTGAAATGCGCATTCACACTAAAAGGTTCTCCATTTAGTTGTTTACTTATATTCTAGTTTAGGTAGGCACTCATAAATAGCAGATAATCTAAGTATGGTTATAATAATGTAAATATGATAATTTATTGTTTAATGACTTAACCATGATTTATGTTTCCTTTTTTTTTTACAGGGAGCTATCTTGACAACAATGTTGGCCACAAGGAATTTCTCCAGTAAGTATGATGCTCATGGTAAGTACTTCACAGGCCCCGTTGTGTGCGCGCAGGACTATACATTGCCAGTTAGTCGGAACCCTGTATTCCTCACTTCCTTAAAAAATAAACAAAAAATACATGAAATCAAAACACTAACCCTTTGTATATAATTGTCCTCAATTATCTTTGCTTGAAACCTGTTCTTTCTATCTATCTGTAATTTTACTATAGAAAAAAATAATGGAGAACACGTTTGTTTTTATCATCATATCACTGATATCCCTTTGTTAAAAAGAGAAACATGCATGATGATGTCCGTATTTCTTTTCTAAATGGATTATAATGAATGCTATTAATATGGTTTAAACTTGTCTTACCCTTGACTCTTCCCACGTCTGTTATCTGTAGATTATCCCCTGTGATGGTACCAGAATAATATTGGTCCAGCTTGTTCCTTCACCATTAATCACATGTCACCTTCTTGCATCACATTGCTATTAGAGCATTAATACATACTTTTACAAGTGGCTAGTTATGGTTATTGATAAGTATTTGGGAATATAAGCACTGAACATGTGTAAATGTTCATTGGGATGTATTCGAAACATGTTTGATTGCATCAATGTTAACTATTTTTAGTAATTATGTTTATAATATTATGCATTAAATAGTTGATTAGGATGCATTATCATTAGCACTCTCTTGTTTTTTATTCCTTTTACCTTTTCCGTTGATTAATTTATTTTTTTGTTTTTTTCATGCCTGATGTTCATTATTTGTTTCATCATCCATCAAATTAAACTTCAACAATAAATAAATACTATGATAATGAAATATAGCAGAACTCTTCTAATTCATATTACAACAACTTGTGTATTCTATTAATTTGTTTAAAAAATTGCTTTAATTGCAATTTAAATTGTTTGAACCTGTGTTAGACTCACTAAGCTACAGATATTCTCGTTTTTAATATAAAAAAAGTTCATCATTTCTCGGTTACTGAAATTTCAACGAAATGAAAATTCACTCTGAGTTGAGTATGTATTTCAATAAATCAAAATCATCTTTAGAACACTATTTAAAAACAAAATTAAGTTTACTAAAGGTCTCTTCATCACAATTTGTATTATATTATTTTATCCCGTGGAATAACTTTAAGCGAAGTACTTTTATTATTTGTATTTCTTTTTTTTTTTTCTTGATAGTTATCAGTTCTACTGTATTAACTTTTTAACTAAAAACTTTTCATACAGGAATTTTTTATCCTTTTCAGAGGGTGACTTTGAAAAGTATTATGTATAGATTCATAATATCTCTTCTTTTTTTTTTTTTTATTATTTTCATTGACCGAATATAGTTTACTTTTATGATCAATTTCTTTTTATTTTAACTGTAATAAGTTGGCATTAGATTTACATATGAAATTAATAGAGATTGAATTTCAGGTAGTAAATTCAATTGAATCTGTTCAGCTTTATTTTAAATAATCAATCATTTTAGACATTTTCTGTATATAATCTTAATATAGGGGAAGGTTAGTTTTGGGGATGAATTAAAAGAAACAATCATAAATGTTAAGGATGATTAGTTTCAGTTTAGTCATATTTCAGGGGTTGATCAAACTTTTAATTTCTCTAAGAAAATTCATGTGAAATATTGTCTGATCCTTGTAAGTTGTTAGAATATTTGAGAGAACGGGGTATTTCTTTAACTGGTGAACTATGGCTTTTTCTAAGCTGTTGAGAAAAGAAAGTTTTCACACGAAAAGTGGACTAATGAGCTATACATGGGTATTATAACAATAAGTAAAATTTTTAACAGTTGACAAAGTGGTGTTTAGCGAACAGGAAAATTAGGAATAGATGACAGGGAGTCATTATTTAATTATTTTCATTAATTAGTCTTATAGAAATAATTCATTCCTTTTTAAAAATATATAATTTATTTCAGCATTAGTAATTTTGGAGCTATGACAGGTTTTATGGATATAAGTTTATTATATTATATCATTATTTCTAAAACTGATGAGAATCAGATTTTTTCATATTAAATGTTTTTCTCTTGAATTATTAGTAGAATCAACCTCTGAAATACTGCTATTACGGAATGAATCTCCCTGTTACAAAATATTACTGCACATTTTTACTGATATAGAGCATGTTTGTGTTCTTGCAATGAGATTGAGGTGTTAGATGAAGCTTTTTCAATAAACTTTGAATGTTGAAGGAAATTTTTAATAAAGGTTTTAAAAATGATAAGTTATTTTAATTGCAGGATGCTCTTGGGTATTGTATTTCTCTCTAGGTTTTTTTTTAAAAAACTTGTAAAAAAATCACTGTTTTGATATATTGTTTTGTAAGACTTTCGTATACATACAAAACTGTTGAAAGGCCAAATTCTACATCTTTAGGAATTTTGATGTATCATGCAATTTTCGGTTGACTCCTCATTAATGCATCAAAAAGCAACAATATTTCTTTCTTTTTTTTTTTTTAGTGTGTGTGGAAATCGTGTGATTACTTCTTTCCTTGAACTGAGAACCAAATAATTTCACAGTCACTTTTATAGAAATTGGCTTCAACTTTAACTATTTTCTCTAAAACGTTTTATCAAAATTCAATGAAGGCTTTTGGGGTAACTTTCAAGAAAAAAAATATATCAAATTGATCAATTATTGCTTGATAATAGATTAGGAGAAAAAAAATAATAAAATTTGAAAAAATATCATTAAAAACATTAGAATTATACTCATATTAATGACATTTTCAGCATAATTCATCGATTTTTTAATTTTGAAAATAGATTATAATTTAGGCTGATGATTGATATTTGTGGAAGAAAGTTTGTAAACGGACCTTCATTATTTTTGAGATTGAGTCAGTGCTTCTTCTTATTCATGATTTTATTTTTTATAACTCCTTCAGCAAGTTCATCTTTCATTAAGGTTTTAGTATTCTTTTGTTTACTAATTCCTTTTATTTTAGATTATGACTTAGATTTTGAAGACATAAGCAAGTCAGTCGTAGAAGAAGAAGAAGTAGAAAGCGAAGAAGTTGCGGTGGAAGAAGAAGAAGCTGAATGGGGGGAAACTTGATTTGAAAATAAAAAAATAGAATATTCCATTACTCCAAGAAAAAAATATATGCAAAATTCTTGTTAAATGGTTAAGTTTGCAGTTCAAAATTTTTATTATACTGAAAAAAAAATTGTATTTATTAAAAATTTATCGTATAAACTATAATAAAAGGATTACATATTTTTTTCGTCTTATTGAAATTAATTTATCTTTATTAATTGTCCAGAATAAAATACATAGGCTTTTCTGAAAGATAAGTTCATGTTATTATTGATAAGTTAAAAAAAAAACCTTGAATTTGAAAAAAAAAAATATCACAACTATAAGTAATAACTAAATGCTCAACGTTTTGTCAATTTAGGCATCATGAGGAACAAAAAAATAAAATTGCCCAAATGACTAATTATCGATGAACCTGACTCCCATTGGCATTACAAATAATGCTACTCTTATCTCCAAAAATAATTTTTTTTTTTGGTTAAAAAGTAAACTAGAGAATTCTTTTATATATGTGTTTGCTTTTAAAATTTAACTGATTTGTTTAAAGCTGAAAATACAATCTCTCTGAAATTTTTCCACTCCAAAATGTCTGATTCTGGCAAGTGCCTGGTCTGCCTGTGCTTAAATTCATCAATCAGGGGTGTACAGAAAAGGGGTTGCATGGCACAAGCTGCGAATTTAGAGGGTGTCACATATTTACACTATTATACATTTTCAAAGGCCATGATATTTTTTAATGTATTCAATTGTTGTGAACAACGGAGAAGTAAACTATAATTTTTATTATTTTAAATTTAGTAAGAGTCATAAATTGTTTTAGGAAGGGGGGTATGCATCATCACCCTTGGTAGAGACGGGCACCTCTGCCACCAATATTTATAAATCTATAAGCTTTAATTAATTAAAGTTTTTTCTGGTTTTTAATATTATTTTCTTATCAGTTTTTATTTTAAAAACCTGTTAAAAAGTCTCACTTCTTTTAGTTATTAAATATAAATCCACATTAATAAAAAAAAGGTCAAATAAATGTATATTTAACAAGTATTAATTTCAATTATACATGGCGGTTAGAAAACCTGATCAAATATAACAGTTTGGCCTATTTCTAATTTCCATTTCATTTCATCTAAACATTTCTCATGCATCCCTTCCTACCCTTCTGAATGTACTATTTGTTTCTTGTTCTTCCTTTCTTTGTACAGTTACCATCAATATTCTCCAACCAATATTTTAAAAAAATATAATAACATTCATTTTCTTTAATTGTTTCCACTTAAAACATATCTGAAAATCTTTAAACAATCTCTGTAATACATCATACTTAAAAGGAAACGAGGAGATCAAGCGAAGATAGTTGGGGATAGACTTAAGTATTACTGCGAATGTCTAGGGGTCTGTGAGGTATTGTATTATCTTGTATGCATGTACTTTAGGATTATTAGAAACACTTGTATTTCTTCTAGAAGAATGTTTTGGTGACGGGAATACCATTTCCTTTCCTTTATCTCCTTTTATTGAATCATATCGAATTGACACTGGATTAAGGCAGGACACTTGACATACTATGGTGTACAATGCTTAATTAATAAAGTTTTTATAATTTTTTTTAAAACAATTTAATGATCGAAACTAGTGTCAGCTTGATTTGATAAGTTTGAGGTGACTAAAGCCTGTGAAAGAGAGTAGTTGTGGCCCTAAGAGCACTAGCCGTTGCCAGAATAATTTAGTTGTAGATGGTGTGGCACACTTGCTGCATGGGCCTCGTGTAGCCGTGCTAAGTGACTGAGGGGCACATCTGCCACTGTAATTAATTTTTATTTAAATACTTATGTTTTTATTAGTTAATTGATAAAAATATATAATATAAACAATATATATTAATAGAATATTAAAAGAAAACAAAACAAAAAAATTATAACACTGGAATCTTGCCTCAATTATT